CCTGCGTAAATTATCAGGGGGTGCTACTTTCGCTGTTTCTGATCTTTTTTTTTCAGTTTCTCAAGAAGATAAGTAGACATCTTTCAGTGTGAAAATTAATTATGGTTGCAATTGCGTACTGTAACCAGTTGTTCACTCAGTTGATTTCGGATCAGCCATGGCATTGTGGCCGTTCAAACCCAATTTAAAGTTTGAGAAAACGCTTAAATCTACCTCTTATCCACGAAGATGAAGAGCGACAAAAGCCAACTATTTGCAGCAGTTGGTCTTTAGGTCCCTTGGGTTTTTTGTTTTTTTTAAATTTAGTAGTCTTAGTAACTGATTACTTCAAGGCTTCAAGCTCTTTGTACTCAGAAGTAGGGCATATCCATGAAGCCCCGTGTTGCTCCGTTTAGAATCGACAAGATCTAAATTATGTGTCTGCCAGGTGTAAAGTCTGGCAACCTTCTGGTCAACTACAATAACAGTGTATTGTGTTTAATACCCTCATGCCATTCACTTTAGAGATTCTAACGAAATAGGAGAGCAGTGATCAGTGGCGTTGATAAAGCAGGATCTGCTAATACTATAACTATAAATAATCTCCAAAGAACCACCATACTGCTTCACTTGTTGCTCCTTTCACTTAGCTTAAGTTCAAATAAAATCCGACCATTCTATGCCTCTATTTTTTATTCCCAAAACTGCCGTGAGAGCGTTGCAGCTATGTAATCCTGTTATATTTCACATACACAGTACTTTCATCTTTCGCTAATCGCGCTTTTTCTCAGATGGTTCCAATACCATGTCTTAGTTTAGTTTTAGTAGAGGCCATATGAGCGCCAAGGGGTGGATGTCAACAGAGAAGTCCTTACAGGGAATCAGACTTACTCTGCTCACCTCTCTAGCTTCAAGGTACAGTACAAAGTCTGCTTCGACTATCAAGGCACCCCAGAAATAACGGGTCACAAGAGTGTGACAAACATACAAAAGAAGTAGAGGAAAAATGACGATAGTAAAGATTTAAAAAGAAAAAGCAGCAGTGCCCTGTTGTAGTTCAGGCACAGTTATGAGCATGACATTGTTGGATCAGCCCATTTACAATTCTACTGTGCATTAGAACGAGAAATGTCCCCCTTTAGAAAAGGCCTAAAGACACTTCAGTCTGTGGCACCGCCCCGGGGGATACCATCTGAGAGGGAAATCTTTTCTCTGGCATTTCCCAAAATATGTCACAAACATCTCCATCTTCTCCTTTTAAGCTGGTATGATTGTGTTGATAATATTATAGAAATCTTCAATCCCAGCTAGCTCTTTCCGACACTTTTATCATTTGTAATATTAATTCCATGATATTAATAATAAAATTCTTCGTAAACGTTTTGTTTAAAACCTCTTTAACTTTCGTTGAATTGCTTATTGAATTCTAAATGACTTACAATTTTACAAAGGCGATTCACACATTCTGAAGTCTTTGATGAACGTCGTCAATGCAGTCTGCATGAGTTTTGAAGATAATACTACCAAAGTACTAGAATTTAATCATTTCTGCTAGATATATAATATTGTAGAGCTATGGACTAAAGAGGCGGGATTTGTAAGTAAACAATGGGTTATACACTATAATGCAGACCTTTGGGAATGATTTTATGCGAGTCAGGTACTTAATAATTGATGTTAACACCGACGTGCAAACGTACCCGAACAGGAATTCTGCTCGTACTGTCCCTATGATACGGTTGAAAATACAGTCGAACATGTGTAAGATTACCTCGCATTGTCGATGAGAAAAGCGGCCGTATAAGACAGGAGGCCGTCATACTCAGGACTGATCAAAATGAAGAGAACAACCATCACATTTTCTGAGGCCCCAACTGAGGTGATTGCAGGCTTAGGACTCCCGAAAGGCGCGCTATATTTTTTTCTTTTTCTTCTTTAAAAAAAAGGGGGGGGGGGATAATGTAATGTGAAAGATATTTCCGTTCACCTGACAGCAGATAAGCATGATTAGCAACAACTGCAGTGGGTAGGCCTATTCATCCTGCTTTTCCGAGTTCAAAAGTAGGCCTATATGTATTGAAGGCGCTATAAGATTCAGAATACCGAAATTGATCTGCAAGTGGTAAATATGACAAAAGTGGAGTTTAATTCGAATAAGCTGACCTTAGATATTTGATTGTACAGCGTATGATAAAATTAGGACTGTAGCCCTTCAGTCTTTTTTTTTTTAAAGAGCAGACTATTTCGAGGATATTAAGTCTTTAATCTCAGCACTTTTTGAACCTGCGTTCGGAAAGTTCAGGAAAGACAGCTTTTGGTGCAACCTACAAATAAATTCCTTGGGAGCAACGGTGCAACACACCAAAAGCTTTTTCGGGCAAAGGGAGTTAAAAGAGACAATACTGTATTGTTGTAGCCTTTGTCAAAGTTACCCCAAAGAGGTTATAAATAGAACAAGGGAGGGGTCTTAGCTGTGACATCACGAGTATCAAACGTGAGGGGCGCGCCCCCATTCCGGAGAGGAATATTAGGCCAGTCGGTGCACTGCAACACTTTTCAATCTCGGAATAATGATACTCTGCGAAGTGTTTTGATTTCGATTTTTTTTTCTCATGTGATTTGCCTATCGCTAAAATGTACTCTTATGGATTTTTCTGGTTGTTTACCTTTAAATGAGCCAGGCAATCTCCAAATAATGTGCATATATAGGGCCTTTTACACAGTGAGGCCATAAATGGTGAGTAATTTTTTTTTTAAACGAAGGAGATGAACTTGATGATCACTTGTTAAAATAAAAAAACATAATTTAATTGAAATCTTTTGCAGTGTGTTGCTGAAACCGTATGTCTAGATTTAGCACTGCTGACCACAATGCAAAGGCGCTCGTATTGACCCTCTGGAATCAGGAATGAGACTGACAAGCTGCTAGAAGCTTCAGCTGCAACTCTAGCACACCTTCAAGGCTGGCTGAACGGAAAAGAACCACGTCGATGTTGTTGAGATGAGAAAATATAAAGTAACCAAACCAGGCGTAACTACTCCACCAATAAGAGCGGCGTAATATTATTCTCATTTACGGAAAAGATGCCAAACAGCATACGCAACAGCAGCAGCAGTGGTTCATGGAAGATGGGGTGTTGTGTAGCCAAATTTCATTGCCAATCAACGCCAATTTTAGAAAATATTATGAACGTTTAGGATAAACCGGCTATTTATTTAAGTGTTGCATTTTAAAATATTGTCAGTATAGTTATTTTGTGCTTGATAGTTGCAACGTTCTTTGGTTGAGCGCAAACGATCCATACAGTGGGTGAGTTACAGTTTCCCAGCCTATAAATAATTGATCATTTTGAGACAATAACGAATTAATGTATTATAATATATAATTATTAACCCAGTTTTAGTACCCCTTCATATTCTATGAAGACCCTAAGCTTTGCGTCAGTAGAAGGAGAGTTTAGCAGAGGCGAAGCGTCTATATAATCAAATAATCACTGCTTCCCCTCCTAAATTTGAAACATTGTCGCAGTCAAATTCACCCATAGACGTAAACCTCATAAATTAAATGTAAAAAGACGTTCATAATCACCAATGATCAATAGACTATGCCTAACCTTCAAAACCGTTTCATTGCCACAGAAATAGCCTGTTCGCCCCTATCGGGGCACTCCATAAGCAGTCAGAAGCTTTGATTAAGTAAGCTTAAAGTGAGACTGGAAGAGTCAACCAATAGATTTGAAGGGAACATGTGCATAGCAGTCAGAACTGTTTCATTGTCGCATATACCCTGTTCACCCCTTTCGGGCCACAGTTATAAGCACCCAGACGCGCTGATTATCTAAGCAAACTATTACACTGGTCGAGTCTACCTCACAGATGTGAGGGGGACTAACTCCCCGGTGCTCCTACTACACTGCTAGTGCTTGTTTTTTTCCTCGACTTTTTAACGTCCTATAATCAGATCGTGACCTCGATTATGACAGCGGCTCCTGGCCGCGAAAAGCTAGACAAAAAACAGCCAAATGTGAAATAAAAAAAATAATAATTGGCGTGCTCTACCAAAGTGTTTCGGCTGTCTGGTATAACATGCCATTGTAGTGCTGACATCTGTGCTTCTTTCCTTCGTGTTCGTGTGTTCAAATCTAAAGTTAAATTTAAGGTTAGTTAGAATAAATATTTAATGAAATACTTTCCCGATTGTTTTAGCGGTTGAACAAGCATACAACATGAATTCAGGATTTGTTTTCATTCACAACTCAAGAGTTGCCGCCTCCAGTGCCAGTAAGATTGTTGTGACTTGTGTGAGTATGATATCTCCAGGCCCTATCTGGTTCCATTTCACTTTGATTACCCTGTCAAACAAGTCAGCCTTCACCCCTGGAGTTTAGACAACAAGGCATAAAAGCAATCCAATTTGTATTTGTCGATATAAAATTGTCCTTTTTCTTAACAAACTTACATGCTCACTTTGTCTCCCTCCACCCCTCCTCCACCCCACCCGGGAAAAACAAACAATAATACCTCATATTATATTTCTCTGTTAATTTGTAGCCCACATTTAAGTGCATTTTTGTTTCTCACAAACGGTCAACATGACAGGTGTGGTATTGCGTATGTGTGTATGTTATATAATTAAAACTGAGCTTCAGAATCTATGAAGACCAAGGCGTTGCGAGGGACGCGCAGCGTGACAGCACTGTTTCTAATCCTCTCAACAATGGCGACAAACGAGCTGAATGGGCCCGCACAGTGTAGTGAGTTTACGTGGGTGACGTCACAGCTGCGATCTCTAGTATTGTTATAACCTCTTTGAAGCGACTCGGACGCCCCAGCCAAGACACAAGCGAGTGTCAAGTTTCTTTTTTTTTTCCTTTTTTTTTTTTACACATAAAAGAAAATGTTTCCTTATCCTAACCATAAAAATATCTGGTTTCTAATTCCTTATTAGATTACATATTTCATAAAGTAAACAATGCCTTTTTTGTCATTCTGTCCTGACTAAGCATGTTTGACCGAGACTTTGAAATATGAATGAGTTCAACTTCCGTTGCCTACAAAGCCGCATGATTTGACATTTTGCCTTACAAAGAATTAGAGTTATAGCAGGAACTCTTCACTGGGCTGACTGCACTGAAAGCCTAGTTAGCTTTTAACCATGCCTGTTTTCAAAGGTATGAATATAAATCCCATTTTTGTGATGTATCGAAGCTAGAATCTAATTTTTGTGCTTCCTTGATGTAAAAAAATCTGAAAGTCGGACGTCAGTGTCACTGGTCGTTCATGAAGTTGAGTAGTGTTGATGAACACGAATTCAGTTCAGTTTCAGGAATGAATTTGGTTCCTAGATCTATAAATGTATGTGTTTCTCCCGTCCTATTCGAGGATATTTTGTCCCCTGTTTATGAAAGTGGATAAGATTGTACTTTACCGGACCACTAGTCAGAACTACTTTCGCTAGGATCTCTGGCATGGCGCCCCTGGTGTCTGCTGCTATTCTTCCTTTCCTCCTGGCTCCCCTACTCAGTTTTCTACGTCCTCACCCTTCGACTGCCAACAACCGACTGACGTCTCTATTCGGGTTTTTCAGTCATCATGACGGTGCCCTTTGACCCCCGACCTTGACACCTTGAGGCTAATACTAATTGGTCAATCTAATCACGTGGTCTACTATTGTTATTTGCTCGCAGCTCTGCTAGCTAGGGCTAGGCGACCTAGGCCTACTCCTGGTCCGGCAAAGTACAATGGAAGGCGAGAGATGCGCACGAGAGTTCATTTGCATAATTGCAACCCCCTCGGCCCTGCTCGCGACTTGGCGAGTGCTGTGACTGTGAAGCAACGCTCGGCCTGTTCCAACCCTCGGGGGCAATCTAGATCTAATTTAAATTAGATTCTAGATCTAGATATTAGATATCTAGATCTAGAATCTAAGTCTACCCCGATTTTCCACTTTTAGCTCCTTGGTCCCCTCATGTTATTGTTTATAATGTGTGTGTGTTTAAATTATTGTTGCCAGGGGGGCCCCTGAAACCCCCCACTGATGTTATATTGATGGAAGTGCCTATTTGCAACGCCGCGTTGCGATTAGCGCCAGTGCTAAATAACATGCCGCGTTGCGATTAGCGCCTGTGCTAAATAAAACGCCGTGTGTAAATTATAAAGCTTAATCTGCACTTCGTTATAGCGGAAGTTCTGATGGTCGAACGAACAGCGCGTCTGTGCTTGAAGTCAAACCATTATTTTTTTCGAACAGTATACAGACCCGGTAACCGGGAATAAAGTCACGAAGTATACAGACCCGGTAGGGGAACTCTTTTGTGATTTCGGAAAGTTTCAGCGTCCAGACCCGGTAGTGTGTGTGTGTGTGAGAGACAGAGTGAGCGAGCGAGCGAGAGAGAGAGAGAGAAGTGCTAGCAAAATGTATATTATGACATGCCCCAGTTGGCAGGAGGGAACGAGAGAAAGAGTGGGAAATAGGAGGGGAGAAAGAAAGACAGAGACAAACAAAGAAAAAGAGAATGCGAGTGATACACACAGACAGAGGAGAGAGAGAGAGAGGGGACTGCTTGATTGAAATTATGACATTGTTCTTTTCTTCAAAATGTGATTCCCCCAACTCCAAAACGGAGGGAAAACGATAGTTCATCAAAAAGACATCCGCAATCTTCATTTAGAGCCTCGAAACCGAAACTAGATCAATGATTTATGTCTGTCTGTCTAGATCTAGACCTAGGCCATAGAATAGATCTAGAAGAACCTAGGTCTACCTTAGTTTAGAATTCTGTGGTCTACCCTGAGCCAAGAGGGCGCTGAAACTTTTCGAAATCACAAAAAGTTCCCCTACCGGGTCTGTATACTTTGTGACTTTGTTCCCGGTTCCCGGGTCTGTATCTCCCTATTTTTTTAGCGTGGGTTCGATCCCGGTCCTGGGCGTTTTTTTGGGGGTTGTTTTTTTGTTGTCTCTTCTCGACTGACCAACAAATTGTTCCCATAATTTAGCAATGCCAATCGCCGGCTGCGCCTTCGGCCGGAAATCGGCCTCCGCGCTAGGGGTATTTTTTGGGCCGCTCGGAATCAGAAGTGACTCTCTTCTCTAAGTATAGTTATGGGGAAACTCCTGGACGAAAATAAATGAAACTCGGCAACCAACCAGAGGAAAGGTTAAACTAAGGACATGCCAGCGTACAAACCCGAACGATTACTAGAACCGGAGATATTGCCGTGTCTGTGCGAATTTCTTCTGCGGTTCGAACACTAAGCGGAGCTGCGGGTTGATCGCCGACCACGCAAATATCAGTCTTTAAGATCCAAAGTAATGAAGACGTTGAAAAAGTGATAGCAGAACTAGATTCGGCACTAAAAATCACATGGAAATGCCAAGTTTCATTCATATGCTCCAATTCATTACTGACTTATGAACAGTTTTTCCTCAAAATACATCAAAACATGTCCCACATTTTGGCGATTTTTTCCTATATGAAGGTCCTCCAACATTTTGCAACCAAAAATCCCAATAACTTTTTAATTTATCAATGGATTTTTAAAATTTGAAAACCATAGTTCTTAGAATTTACTCTATTTTCAGTTAAGCCCATTTTTAAGCAATTTGGATGAGAATTTAATTTCATTGTCATTGCTATCATAATTATAACTTGTTGCTTTGTAGTTTTTTTATGTAGTGATGAAGCATGCACATTCTGGTTTTGTCCCCAAGAGGAGCTCTGCACAAAGTAGGCCTTAGTATAGCTTATTCTTTTCCTTTTACCAATTTAGGCCTGGTTAAAGTTCAATATTGGCTTTCCTTGGTCTGTGAGTCTAATTTTTAAATTTTATTTTAGGCTCCGGAGAAGGAGAAAAAACCCCTTCTGGGACCGGGATTCGATGCCACGCTTGGAAGCACTGAACATTAAGACTTATAGAACGTAGACAGTAGACTTAAAGTTCGAGTTGCACCGCCTTGTTATTGTTATCCAAGCGTCTTTCGACTTAAACTTGCTCAAACTCAAATGATTATGATTATGAGAGAAGAACAAGACTTCATCTTGTCTACTTTTGTGCAAACAATGTCAGAAACAATTGTTAGATCTAATCTAGATCTAGATCTACCCAATATTGATCGGAATAAGACAACGTCATAAAAAAAGGAGTCAAATCCTAGGAGGTTTATAAAAAAACTGAGAAAGCTTCCGCTCATTTCAGGCAGAACTACAATATTATTATCATGTAGAACGATGGCAACTACATCTAGATCTAGATCTAGATTCTAGTACTGGCTTTACCAATAGCACGGGAGCTATTCAGAACACGGCGTTGCAAATAGCGCCTGCCTATATTGATATGTAAACATGATTGTCCGCTCATGTTATTGTTTTGCTTTTATGTTTGTTTTCTTTATTATTGTTTCTGAAGAGTAAGAGGGTCTGTGTTTAATCTTGTAGATTCTATTTGCTGGAAATTTGTTCTAATCACTTTTGAGTCCACTTCTATGTTTAGCAATGCCAATTGTCTGCTGCGCCTTGGGCCGAAAATCGGCCTCCGCGCGAGGGGTAATTTTTGGGCCGCTCGGAATCAGAAGTGACTGTTTTCTAAGTGTATAGTTTCAGGAAAACTCGTGGACGAAAATAAATGAAACTCTGGAACCAATCAGAGAAAAGGTTAAACTAACGACGTGCCAGCGTACAATCTCGAACCATTTCTAGAACCAGAGATATTGCCGTGTTTGTGCGAATTTCCTCTGCTGTTCGAAAACTAAGCGGGGCTGCAGGTTGATCGCCGACCACACAGGAGCCCCACATGTCTTTGTCTTCTTTATTGCTGTAAAATTTCAGATCTCTGCGTTTAGTACATTTTACGTACCAGCTTAAAATTACCACCCATCCATTGATAGAACACTAGAGCTGGAAACTAGATCACGCATTCCAAATGCGAGGTGCCGGCATGCAAGAGGCGCGTGATCGCTAGGCAGCATGTGATTGGCTGCCTATAAGTAAATAGGTCACCGATGACTTCATCGCAGGTTTTCCCGATAGCGCTTTACTGAGTTTTAGAAGGGGTGATCGCGTCGCGGTAAAAACGATGTCACGCAATTCAACAAATTTCAAGCAAATATCAGTCTTTAAGATCCAAAGTAATAAAGACATCGTAATATATAGCAGAACTAGATTCTGCACTAAAAATTAAATGAAGATGCCAAGTTTCATTCATATGCTCCAATTCATTACTGAATTATGAAGTTTTTCCTCAAAATACACCTAGACACGTCACACATTTTGGCGATATTTTCCTATATGAAGGTCCTCCAACATTTTGCAAACATAAATCCCAATAACTTTTTTATTTATCAATGGATTTTTAAAATTTAAAAACCATAGTTCTTAGAATTTACTCTATTTTCATGTAAAAGCCATTTTTAAGCAATTTGGATGAAAATTTAATTTTTCATTGTCATTGCTACTATATTGCATGTGTCTGAGTGTCATGACGTGGTGGAATCAGGCGCTCGTCAATTTTTGGACATATGGAGTTATTGGTATCAACTTAAAGATTATTCATTTGCCTTGCTTTTGATGAAAAAAATAGTCCATTTACCTTGAATAGATGTGGAGATATTTATGGTTGAAGGAGGTTGGGTAGCCTGGTTTCCGGAGTAAAATTATTGAAAAAATGGCCGCCAAAGTTGGGTGACTTCCATAGCTTTTAAGAGTCCTTGGAAACTGCAAATATACATTTTTTGTGCCTTTAATCAATGTTTTTCCATAAAATCCACACATAAAAGTGTTTTTGAATGGACACATACAAGGTGTTGAGCCAGAATACACAAATTTGAAAAAGATGTCCAAACTGGTCGAAAAATGCCAATTTCTCGGATTTCATTGTTTTGACAAGCGCCTGATTTCAGCATGATACCTCACATATATTTTATACCAGGTTGTGATGCCATTATGTTAATTGAAAAGTCGTAGATAAGTTGAAGAGCTAAATATTTTATAACAGTAATTATCTAGAATGTTTGTTTGTCAAGTAAATGGGTTTAGCAAATTGGAAGTTTCAGCTATGTAATGAAAATTGTGTTAATATATATTGCTTTTCAGTTAATGTGAAGTGGGGGAAGGAGAAGTTCACAGATGTGGAGTGTAATACTGATGAGCCACCAGAACTATTCAAAGCCCAGTTGTTTGCCTTGTCTGGAGTTCAACCCACTCGACAGAAGGTTATGATCACTGGCTCTATTTTGAAGGTGTGTTTTGCTTTATTTGCACTTATTACAGGTTTCTTTTGTGAGATAAAATGTTTAAAAGGGTGAATTGAATTTGATATGATCGATAATCTCAGTTGGAATATTTTTTCATTGAGAGTATAAATAAGAGATTTTGGTTTGACTAAATCCTAATTACATTTGGGGGGGGGGGGGGGGGGCAACCATTTATGCTTTGAATTATCTGTCTCTTCCACTCCACCAGGGTTTTTAGACTCACACAAACCATTAATTTGTGCTCTGATTATGGGTTTTTGTTTGTACTGACTGATAGAAAATGTATCTACCTACATTTTAATGTACCTTGTCATACTTTGAGTGCCTTTAAATTAAAGAAAATTAAAAGAAATATTTTTTTTCTGATTACAGTCAGATAGGAAGAACTGGCTTGGTCACAGTTAGGAAAATCTTAATGATCGTGTATGGAAAGGGTTAATAGAGCATATATATATATATATATCATATTTCAAAGACATTGTCATATATCTGCCAGAATTATAATGCCCTTGCACCTTTTGTAGTTTTGTATTAGTATAAATGTCATGCTGTTACTCATGATCTGAGAGCCAAGAGTGTAGAATTATTATAACAAATTTATATTCATAAATCTTTGATAGGTCGTGAACCAACATGTTAGGGATAATAAATATCTGCCTTTGTTGTAAATTGAGAAAGCAATATTGAGGAGTAGGGATTAGTAGGTAACTACTGACAGAGTACATAAGTTTTACAGGTTTTTGAAATTCAGGAACCTTTTTGTTTGCATATTTCTGCAATTTTTAATTTATGGTATCACTCTTTTTTTCAGGATGATGAATGGGGTCCAGCAAAAGCAAAATTAAAAGATGTGAGTCCTACTTGTACGTTTGGTAAATTAAGATATGGCATGATGGAATGACATTATTAATGACAATGAATGTTGCCTTTTTCCTTAATCTTAAGCTATTTCAATCCCACTACCCTGTTTCTGTCTTTTGCATATATTCATTGTGCGAGAAGATACCAAGTTAAATACACCAACAGCTGCTTGTGTTCCTGGTTGGGTTTGTTGTTGTTGTTTGTTTTTTAATGAAATGATGCTTGATAATCAGTCTGCAGTGAATGATATTTTACACTTTGTTTTAATTTCTTTTGGATTGGTGTGTGTGATGGGGAGTGGGGGGAGATTAGTTAAACTTGTTGGTAGGAGATTTATTCATTAAAACGAATTTTGGGTTCTTCAATTTTTTTGTTCTTGAATAGATAGCCTTAGTAAAATAGTGAAATAGTATTTTTAAGGTATTTTTTCCTAATCTTGCATGACTTATTTGTGATAAACAATTGTGGTACATTAAATGTATTTCATTTATCTAACCTTTGCCTGATGGACAAAGCTCTGTCTTCCTGTACTTTTTTTTCCGTAACAGGCGTTCATTTTTTGTGATACTGTCCCCTTGTTTTATATGTTTTGTTTTGCTTGTAACTGTTTTTGTTGTCTTCATTGTGCAGGGTACGATGCTGCTGATGATGGGCACTGCTGATGCTCTACCCCTGGCTCCAGTTGAGAAAACTGTTTTTATGGAAGATATGAGTGAAGCGCAATTGGCTTCTGCGGTAAGTGCCACTCTGTTTGTGGTATTTGGGTTGCCAAGATGACTTATCAAAGAAGCAGTTGATTTGCATTGTAAATGCTATTCCTGTTATTATCATTAACCAGACTAGTGGATTTTCTGGTGATTGGCAGATACTTTTCAAACTCGTTCTACATTTTCCTACTCTTTTACTGATCTACTGGAAAAAGAATTAATTCTACTGTTAAAAAAAACAGATAACTGGGACAAAGGGAATTGAGGAAAGCACATGGCAGCTGTTTTGAAATTAAATTTGTATTAACTTGAAGGTTGAGTGAGTTGACTTTTGACTTAGACTATCTGATCATATATTTTTGGATGGCTTTGCTGCTTTACTTTAGTTATGCTCTTGTTTTGGTAACAAGCTTTGTCGGATCTGGCACATAAGCTGCTTTTACATTTTGAAGATAAAGGCATAGATTCCTTGTCTCATTTTCTTGTTTTGGGCTACTATGTGCACAAGAAATAGAATTGCTGGATCTAGGCATATATGTTGATCTCTCAGCAATGGCATTATTATGTATGAGGATCTCTCTCAGAAGGCAGAATTATTCATTGAGAAAGTAATTGGGGGGGGGTCAGATTACTTTTTAAAAACTGTTCTGTCGGGTGTATGCTGTATTGACTGTATTAAAGCAAGCTGGGGTAGTCCCATATCAAGCAAGATGTTGAGAGCAACCCCCACCCCACCCCCTCCAAAAAAACGACAACAAACAAACCCCCGAAAATGCTGTTCAGGTCAGCTTGTAGCCCTTTGAATTCCTTGAGCTTCTTTGTTCAAATTTCATATCTTATTTTCAGGTGGTTTCCTTTCTGGTTTTTTGTTTGTTGTTGTTGTTGGTTGTTTTTGTTTTTTTTGTTTGGGGGTTTTTTTTTGGGGGGGGGGTAGCCAAATTGCAGGTCTAATTCATGGAATTGATATAATATGTATAAAATAGTTTCAAGGTTGATGTTGATCTGTTTTAATATAGTGCTATCTAATACAAAACATTAATCTTTTTTCAGCTTGCAGTGCCATCTGGTCTTTCAAATTTGGGCAATACATGCTACATGAATGCTACAGTTCAATGTTTAAGGGCAGTGCCTGAACTTAAGGATGCTCTGAAGAGGTAAGTTTTGAGTAGAGACAATACTGGATGTAAGAGCCTGTACAAGGACTGTACGTGTGAAAGAAAGCTCATTGTGTTTCAAAAACAACCTAAAAACTAATGTTATCATGATTATGTATTTAGCATCATTTGTACACAGCAGGAATTATAAAGCTGTTTGATTTTTTTTTTCCTGAAGAGTATTTCCTACCTGAAGAAATACAGTCTCATATCAGCCACAACTTTTTACTGTGCTGGAATTTTTTATTTTATATATTTTTTTTTTTAGATTCGAATGATTTTGTTTTCTGTATGTCTAGAAATAGCCTAAGATTTTGGATAATACATTGAAATATTTAATTATGTTTTTTTCCCACCGTCATTTAAGTGCTGTATGCAGTAAGCATTTGTTATTATGTTCAGGTTTAGCGGAGGGCTGACAGTGGCAGGAGCTATTGCACCAGCAGACTCAATCACAGCAGGTATGTTGTGTTGGAATTTGAGACTGAATATTGTACAAGGGATTTTTTCTGCTTTTTGGACAAAGTCGTTAAGCATAAGCACAGTCTGTTTTAGTTTTAGTAAAAGTTTAACGGCACCCGCAATCCAAACAGTCCTGTCTGGGGGATGATGTACAACAGTGAAATAGTCTGAGTAATACTGGATACCACTTTGTTTAAATTTTGAGGTCTGAAAAGTGTAATTTTTTCATAAAAGTGATGTATGTATGTATTTACATAGTATATAGATAACAAATTTCTTTTAATATATACATTTGAAGAAATTGTTTTTGGTATGTTTCAGCTTTGAGAGACCTGTATATATCAATGGATAAGACGTCAACATCCATACCACCAATTATTTTCCTTCAAGTTTTGCACATGGTCTTTCCGAGGTTTGCTGAGAAAGGTGAAAATGGAGGATATCAACAGCAGGTAAATATACAAGCTTTTGTAATGACCATATTGTGAATTTTTCAGAACCCAGGTATGGCTATTGTATCCATTCTTTAGAATATGCTATTCTGAGGAAACGATTTCTGTTCCTTTGTTACACAACCTTTTTCAAAGGAATATTTTTCTCTTATGTCGATTGTGATTTCTTTTCTGCTCATTTTTCAAAGACTCAAAAGTATAAATGTAAAATCCCTCCATCTGAGGAGTTTTTTCAAATATTTCGAAAGAAACTGATGCTGGATCTGAATTGTTAGGTAAGTGTGTCAAAACCATGAAAGTTGGTATATCGTACCATCAAAATGGTGGCAGCATTTACTCAGTTGTTTTCTGTCACTTTTTCTATTCTTGACAGGATGCCAATGAATGTTGGACAGAGATCGTTCGAAGCCTTCAGCAAAAATTGAAAGCAGTTCAAGCTCCACCCAGTAATGGTCAGCCCATGGTAGGTACAATTGTGGGTCATGGTTTTCTATGGTTTTGATGAGCTAAATGCATTTTATAATTTACTTTACTATTAGTTACTTGGTAGAAATTGGAAAAAAAATTGCACTTTGTGTTGATTTGGTCTTGGGAGTCTTGACAGTTGTTTGGAATTCTGTCATGCTTAGATTTTCTTGTAAGCATGAATGTTTCCTCTTCAACTCCACATTGAGAATGTGCATATGTGCAGTCGAAACTTTTTAAGACTCCCACCCATTGTTGACGAGAAAAGTGGCTGTCTTAGTCAGGTGGCCGTCGTACACAAGGTCTGGATAGTATACCTTAGGCTGTGAAAAATTGATATCGTCATGTAAGAGCAGTTTTTCATGAGACTATTCTATTTAACTTTCATAACTTTTGTTGAATAGTGTGGGTTGGTTTGGGGTTTTTAAAAAACTTTTACTCCTCTAGTTGGTATCATGTCATAGAATTTACATTTTGCTTTACATGTTCCTCAATTATGTTTAGGGAGTTGGAAATCGTATGTAGTGGAATCACCCCATCGCTTGTTGTGATGGAGAGGATGATTATTTGATGGTGGAAGTTACCGTAGTGGAAGAGAAGCTTGGTATTGTGGTTTGGACGTGCTTTGTGCAAAGTTATCATGCTGAAGTGAATCAGTTTTAAAATCGTTTACTTACCATTTTTGTGTTAGGTAGGTTCTTATGGACATACACCGGTCTTTGTACTTAAAGTTTGACTTCATGTAGCAGGATTTGGGATTACTAAAGTGTTTGTCTTTCTCATGGTCTGTTGTCAGGAGACTGATTCTGCAACGTCTGCCGGAGCGGGTGCTGCATCTGCTGGAGCTGGATTCATTGACCAGTATTTTGGTGGAGAGTTTGAATACACGTATCCTTGTCTGAAATGTTTTCCCATATTTTAAAGCTGAATTGAAATTTGTTTTTTATATAGGAGATGGACTGGTGTGATTTTTTTCCCTTTCTACCTTGCTAAGATTATTGTTGGGCTGTTCTGTTATTGTAACATGGTGTGGGTGGTTGAAGCTAGCCACTAGTTGGTTCTCCCACCAGTCTTTGCATCTGTTGTTTCTGTCTGTTTGTCTAATTTTAATCCCAGCACTAATTTGCAGTTATCTAATTGATATGCTTCTTAACAATTTATACCATAATGTTGATGGTGCTTAGGAAACCTTGGCTAATAGGCATCTGTGGTATTTCATCGAAGCTCTTTGCCTTTGCCATTCCTGTGTCCAGTACCGTAGTTGAGTATCACTGTCTTTCTACTTTGCTGAATCCGAGCCCAGATTGGACATAGTAGTAGGGTTGTAGCAGCCTGAAATAATTTGAAGTGTGTCAAAGGGAGGGTGAATGCAAAATATTAACAATAATTTTTCTTGCTGATGCATCTGAAAATGTTTATTTCCTTTAATTGTTGCCCAGCATGAAATGCATAGAGGCTCCAGAAGAAGGAGAAACTCAAAGCAGTGAGAAGTTTCTGCAGCTCAGTTGCTTTATTGAGAAAGGTAGGTCATGGTTATCTCTATTCTCATTCAGGTACAAATTTGAGTTTGGAACTTTTAAAAAATTGAACTCTGTAGGCTCTATTTAATATTTAATGTTTGATTTTATCACCTTGATGCTTTAAATTTGATTCGGTCCCCCCCCCCCCCAGCTTGCATAACATCATGAGCTTCTTTGGGTCCATTAGACTAATACAGTGTTTGCCTTCTGTGGGTGACTAAGATTAGAACGTGCATTTTCTTGTCTTGATAGTGCATTGTCAACTGTGTGTATCTAGTAAGTTGTTTTTTTAATGATGGGCAGTGGTTTACTGTTGGAAGTTTTAGAACTATGTTTTTGAATGTTTTCAATTTTCTTGGGCACAAATAGGTCACAACTGTAAGAGAAGTGTAAAATATTTAAAGGTTGGTGGTTGGCGGGTGCTCTGGTGTGGTTTGCTCCTTCTTTCCTATCAAACATCTGTCGTCCTTATCTCCCCTTCTTCTCTTTTATGATTGTTCCTCTCTTGTAAATCCTCTAATCTTCTGACGCTCATATGACCTTATGCAGTTGCGAGCGCCGTAAAACTTCTACGAAGACTAAACTAAAAAACTTTTGGTGAAGACTTCAATTTTTTTTTGTCTCCTTTTTCTTCCCAGAGGTGAAATACATGCATACAGGCTTGAAAAACGTAAGTATGTCTGTGTGTTTCTTGTTTTTCAGTGAAGTTGTAAATAAGTCTGATAGAAGAATTGTGACTATTGCAGCTAAGTATGTACTTTGTGCCCTCCCCCCCAGCACAAAACAGATAAAAGCTCTCTAAAGATCACTTTTTTAAGCAAGAAGGAAACATGGATGTCAAATGTGCAATTTTTTAAAAACCTCTCTTTCCATGTCTGCTAAATATATCATCCTAGTATATATGCGTTTTATTTATGTATACATTATTATTGCCCTTTGATTTTTTTTTCCTCATGGATTCCAAAATCAAGACTTTACTCAATAACTTTAGATAGAAGTTGTAAGTATCTTTTTGTGGCTGCTGAATGCTTTCGATACTTTGAAAATTAATTTTACCCATACTCAGTTAAGAGATTTTGTTTTGAAAGCTCATGAATAATTCCTTACCTTCACTTGTTTTCTTTCAAATACGACTTTGGGTTCTATTTCGGGGGTGAAAATGTTAATCTGGTGTTTGTGAAAGTGTGAAACACTTATTAAAAGTGTCCCTTGAAAGTATTGTATTTTTGAGGTGACAGGCCATTGACTGAAAGTTTTAACCCGCTGTAGATTTTATTTAATGAATGCTTTTACTGATGGGTTTATGGTCCCTTCTTTGTAGCGACTGGAGGAGCACATAACAAAGAACTCCCCCACCCTGGGACGTGATGCTGTGTACGTTAAATCAGTAAGTACAAGTCCTCTCTTTGATATTTATTGTTATTTTTGGTGCCTCCGTGCATCTCCTTCATGTATGAACAAACATGATTATGTGGGAGGTTGGCGGGTGCTCTGGTGTGGTTTGCTTCTTCTTTCCTATTAAACATCTATCGTCCTT